CACACACTTTCAGGTCTCCCTCCACACACTTACAGGTCTCCCCCACACACTTACAGGTCTCTCCCCCCCACACACTTACCGGTCTACCCCACACACACTTACAGGTCTACCCCACACACACTTTCAAGTCTCCCCCCCACACACACTTACAGGTCTACCCCACACACACTTTCAGGTCTCTCCCACATACACTTACAGGTATCCCCCACACACACTTTCAGGTCTCCTCCACACATACCTACAGGTTTCCTCCCACACACACCTACAGGTCTCTCCCACTCACACTTTCAGGTCATCCCCACACAGACTTTCAGGTCTCTCCCACACACACTTGCAGGTCTCTCCCACACACACTGTCAGTTTTCCCCTACACACTTACAGGTCTCCCTCCCCACACACTTACAGGTCTCTCCCCCACACACACACCTACAGGTCTCCCCCACACACACTTACAGGTCTCCCCCCCACACACACACCTACAGGTCTCCCCAACACACACTTTCAGGCCCCCCCCACACTCACACTTACAGGTCTCCCCCCACACACATTTTCAGGTCTGTCCCACATACACTTACAGGTATTCCCTACGCACACTTTCAGGTCTTCCCCACTCACACTTTCAGATCTCCCCCCCACACACTTACAGGTCTCCCAGACACACTTACAGGTCTCCCACACACACTTACAGGTCTCCCACACACACTTACAGGTCTCCCACACACACTTTCCCCACACACACTTACAGGTCTTCCCCCACACACCTACAGGTTCCTCCCACACACACTTTCAGGTCTCCCCCACACACTTACAGGTCACCCCCCACACACACCTACAAGTCTCCCTTTACACACTTACAGCTCTCTCCTCCACACACTTACAGGTCTCCCTCACACATTTGCAGGTCTCTTCCATACACACTTACAGGTCTCCACCACACACACTTACAGGTCTCTCCCACACACTTACAGATTTCTCCCACACACACTTTCAGGTCTCCCCCCACACACTTGCAGTCTTCCCCCACACACCTTCATGTCTCCCCCCCACACACTTACAGGTCTCCCCACACACTTACAGGTCTCCCACACACACACTTACAGGTCTCCTACACACACTTACAGCTCTCTCCCCCACACACTTACAGGTCTCCCCACACACTTACAGGTCTCCCCCCCACACACTTACAGGTGTCTCCCACACACACTTACAGGTATACCACACACACTTACAGGTCTCCCCCACACTTACTTACAGGTCTCCCCCACACACACTTACAGGTCTACCACACACACTTACGGGTATCCTCCACACACACTTACAGGTCTCCCCCACACACGCTCACAGGTCTCCCACACACACTTACAGGTCTCTCCCACGCACACTTTCAGTTCTCCCCCCACACACTTACAGGTCTTCCACACACACTTACAGGGCTCCCACACACATTAGCAGGTCTCCCGTACACACTTACACGTCTCTCACACACACTTGCAGGTTTCCCCCCACACATTTACAGGTCTCCCTACACACACACTTACAGGTCTTCAACACACACTTACAGGTCTCCCACACACACTTACAGGTCTTCCCTCCACACACTTACAGGTCTCCCCACACACCTACAGGTTTCCCCCACACACACCTACAGGTGTCTCCCACACACACTTACAGGTATACCACACACACTTACAGGTCTCCCCCACACTTGCTTACAGGTCTCCCCCACACACACTTACAGGTCTCCCACACGCACTTACAGGTATCCCCCACGCACACTTACAGGTCTCCCCCACATACATTCACATGTCTCCCACACACACTTACAGGTCTCTCCCACACACACTTTCAGTTCTCCCCCACACACTTACCGGTCTTCCACACACACTTACAGGGCTCCCACACACATTTAGAGGTCTCCCGCACACACTTACAGGTCTCTCACACACACTTACAGGTCTGCCCCCACACATTTACAGGTCTCCCCACACACACACTTACAAGTCTTCAACACACACTTACAGGTCTTCAGCACACACTTACAGGTCTCCAACACACACTTACAGGTCTTCCCTCCACACACTTACAGGTCTCCCCACACACTTACAGGTCTCCCCCACACACACTTACAGGTCTCTCCCACACACACTTACAGGTATACCACACACACTTACAGGTCTCCCCGACACATACTTACAGGTCTCCCCCACGCACACTTACAGATCTCCCCCACACACACTTACAGGTATACCACACACACTTACAGGTCTCCCCCACACATACTTACAGGTCTCCCCCACACACACTTAGAGGTCTCCCCCACACACACTTACAGGTCTCCCACACACACTTACAGGTATCACCCCACGCACACTTACAGGTCTCCCCCACACACATTCACATGTCTCCCACACACACTTACAGGTCTCTCCCACACACACTTTCAGTTCTCCCCCACACACTTACCGGTCTTCCACACACACTTACTGGGCTCCCACACACATTTAGAGGTCTCCCGCACACACTTACAGGTCTCGCCCCACACATTTACTGGTCTCCCCACACACCCACTTACAGGTCTTCAACACACACTTACAGGTCTTCAACACACACTTACAGGTCTCCCCCACACACACTTACATGTCTCTCTCACACACACTCTTAAATTTCCCCCCTCCCCCGCACACTTACAGGTCTCCCCCCTCACACACTTACAGGTCTCCCACACACACTTATAGGTCTCCCTCCCACACACTTACAGGTCTCCCCACACACACAATTACCGGTCTTCCACACACACTTACAGGTCTCCCCCATACACTTTCAGGTCTCCCCCCACACACTTACAGGTCTCCCTCACACTTACAGCTCTCCCCCACACACACTTACAGCTCTCCCCCACACACACTTATAGGTCTCCCCCCCACACACCTACAGGTCTCCCCCCCACACACTTACAGGTCTCCCCCCCCCACACACCTACAGGTCTCTCTCACACAGCTCTCTACACACACTTACAGCTCTCCCCCACACACACTTTCAGGTCTCCCCCCCACACACTTACAGGTCTACCCCACACACTCTTTCAGTTCTCTCCCATATACACTTACAGGTATCCCCCACACACACTTTCAGGTTTCCTCCCACACACACTTACAGGTCTCTCCCACACACACTTTCAGGTCTTCCCCACACACACTTTAAGGTCTTTCCCACACACACTTACAGGTCTCTCCAACACACACAGTGTCTGCCTTCTCCAACACCTCCCCTCCTCCTGTTCCAACCCAAAAAAACCAGCCTCCCAACACACCACCTAAGGCGTTTCTCGACGTACACATCCTCCCTATCAACATCCCACTCACAACCCACAGCATCACAATGTGCTTGCACCCGATCTTCCCCATCACAGTCCCTCCACACACTGCTTAACACCTGCCCACTCTCGCCACATCACAGTAACCATTGTAACTATACACCTTGGTCTTCACTGTAAATATCTTCACATGCTCTCCCTTTGTGTCCACTCAGACCTGCCTTGTCTCCCACACTTGCGCTCTCCCAGTCGTCCCACTCCCAGTCTCCCGCCTGTACATCCCTCTCACTCCCACACATCCCGCCCATCTCCCTCCCACAAATCCCGCCCATCTCCCTCCCACACATCCCGCCCATCTCCCTCCCACAAATCCCGCCCATCTCCCTCCCACACATCCCGCCCATCTCACTCCCACACATCCTGCCCATCTCCCTCCCCTCACATCCTGCCCTTCTCCCTTCCTCATATCCTGCCCATCTCCCTCCCACACATCCTGCCCATCTCACTCCCACACATCCTGCTCATCTCACTCCCACACATCCTGCCCATCTCCCTCCCACACATCCTGCCCATCTCACTCCCACATATCCTGCACATCTGCCTCCCACACATCCTGCCCATCTCACTCCCACACATTCTGCCCATCTCCCTCCCACACATCCTCCCCATCTCCCTCCCACACATCCTGCCCATCTCACTCCCACATATCCTGCCCATCTCCCTCCCACACATCCTGCCCATCTCCCTCCCCTCACATCCTGCCCATCTACCTCCCACACATCCTGCCCATCTCCCTCCCACACATCCTGCCCATCTCCCTCCCACACATCCCGCCCATCTCCCACCCCTCACATCTGCCTCCCACACATCCTGCCAATCTTCCTCCCACACATCCTGCCAATCTTCCTCCCACACATCCCGCCCATCTCCCTCCCACACATCCCGCCCATCTCAGTCCCACACATCCTGCCAATCTTCCTCCCACACATCCTGCCAATCTTCCTCCCACATATCATCCTCATCTGCCAACAATGTAATTATCACAGTTTGCTGCTTTGAACATGGTAATCCTTTTAAGCCATGTCGTGAATCTTTTATTAATATACACTTTTACTTTTTGAGGGAGGGAGTTATCAGGAGAACGTGCCAAGCTGTTACGACTATATAGCACTTGGGAGGATAAGGATTTGTGATGGGACGGGAGCTGAATATAAAAGAGATTCGCTGTTATCACAGCAAATATGTAATGTTATATTAATTGGGAGGTAAGTTGATGCCTATCTATCCAACTCTTTAACAACAGGGATCATATTCGCCACTCTCCAGAGCCTTGGGTTAGATGGTCAGTTTGAGTGGTTTCAGGAACCACTGAACCACTAACTCACCATTAAGGAACCACTGACCCGCTACTTCGCTCTACATTTTATATTTAGTTACTAACTTCTTTTCTTAGTAACTATTAATTTTCTGGTTGTTTTCAATACATCGATACTTTTCATCAAGTGTCTGTGTATTGATGTGTTCTTCTACAGTAAAGGCTGACATTAAATACTCGCTTAGAATATTACCCATTTCATCTTTCTAATATGTTAGCTGGTTTGAAACATCAGGAAGAACACTCACTTCACAACTTCGCTTCAACATCATCTATACAGTCAGCAAATTAAAAATAAGCCAGGATAAGCACCTTTGAGACGGCACTGGGTAAGACCCATCAGAAGCCGCCCTGAAGGCGTCCAACTCCCGGGCGAAGAATTCGTCTTTAAAGCCACCAACCACATCTGCAAATCAACAAAATAATCACAGAAAGACAATCTGCTACAGAAGAGACTCTAACATAGATAAATAACTGAAAACTATTCTGATTATAAATTAAGTTGCACAAAAGGGGAACAAACGTGATGGCTCACCATTCTGTTCATTAAGGGGGCATCAGTTCCAAATATGCCAAAAATATTCAATAAATGAAACTTAGTTATATTTCAATCAAACTTTTTTTGTCGAATTGTATATGAAAAGGGTTTCATCTGGTCCAAGTCTCAGCATCGTAGCATATATAGGAAGGGGGAAATTTTTTTTAATTATGAGTCAAAAATTTTCTAAAATGGTAAAAAATTAACATCAAACACAAGTGTCAACTGAAATCGTTTTTATGACTATCAGCTATCACAATAGCATATATTAAAAATATTTAATACTTAGTTTTATCCAAGAAAAATTTAGTTAAAAAAAAGGAATTTATTTTTCTTATTTGTTTATCGAACGATTAGCATGAAACTTATACACCTGACTGCACGTAAGCCTATCTGTAAGGGTACCAATTTTGGAGGAAATTGGTTGATGTCAACCTCAGCCACAGATGATAGTACCTTAGACTTTATTTTTTACTGATTAATTTTCAAGTAACATAAACGTTCTTATAACTCTCATTTTTTATTCAATTTACATGACACTTACACCTTATATGTAGAGTTTATGTTTCTACAAATCTGTTTCGAGCTATTTTTCCTAAGTTCATTTATTGATTTTATAATAGTAATAAACCATGATATATATGTTAAATTTTTTGGGAACTTTGGAACTAACATATTTTTAAAAATCCGCTGAAACAGATCTCTTTATTATATGCTAATGTGACAGAAAGTGTCATATAAATGATTTCATTTGAAACTTGTGGTTGTAGTTTCGATTTGAAAATGTTTAAAATTCGTTGAAAAAAAATATATAAATATCCCTTTCTATTTAGGCTGCAATACTGAAGCTTGGAACAATTGCAGCCCTTTTCATATACAACTAGTCAAAAAAGATTTATTGACATTGAACAACGTTTAAAAAAGTAACTGATGCCCCCATAAGTAGCATTCAAGATCTCATTCTGGTCTCATCTCAAGATAAACCATCTCATTGTATACTGACTTTCTCCCAAGTGTGAAGATAAATGTAAACATCCTGTGAGTTATCGACAAGTATGTTGTAACATAATGAGACAACCATGATCCTCCTGACTGTAAACCTGAGTGGTTTACAGTCAGAAGGTACAGATCAGGATCCACACCTGAGTAGTCTTCTATCAGAAGATCTGGATCTACACCTGGTAGTAAATGCGGATTAACATGTGATAGTTGGTCCGGGTCGAGGTCTGATAGCAGCTGATGATCGAGGTCTAACAAGAGGTTAGGATCCCCAGCTAGGAGAAGGTCTTCATCTGCCATCGAGCCTTCACTAGCCAGAAGCGGCGTCCTCGCCTCCCAGCACCACTCCACCATCACACACACAAAGAACACACTGAAACAAATATATACCAGTCCAGTAACATAATGGTGTCGTAAAACATACTTATCAAGGAGCTTCGAAAGTTTACTGTCGGTCACGAAGCTCTTTGAGTCGAAGCTGACAATGGCGTATAATTACACACATTTTATTAAAGTTATGTGGGAGTGAAACTTCCATAGTTGCTGATCCTATTCCTGCTACATATGCCTCCGGAACCACATGTGACTACACAACCCCAGGTGGCTGTACGCCTCAAGCCACCTCCGGAGCCACATGTAACAACACAACCCTGGGTGGCTGCACGCCCCAAGCCCACCTCCGGAGCCACATGTGACTACACAACCCCGGGTGGCTGTACGCCTCAAGCCACCTCCGGAGCCACATGTGACTACACAACCCCGGGTGGCTGTACGCCTCAAGCCACCTCCGGAGCCACATGTAACAACACAACCCCAGGTGGCTGCACGCCCCAAGCCACCTCTGGAGCCACATGTGACTACACAACCCCGGGTGGCTGCACGCCCCAAGCCACCTCTGGAGCCACATGTGACTACACAACCCCGGGTGGCTGCACGCCCCAAGCCACCTCTGGAGCCACATGTGACTACACAACCCCGGGTGGCTGCACGCCCCAAGCCACCTCTGGAGCCACATGTGACTACACAACCCAGCCTTTTGTATATAAAAGGCTGCCTGTATAAGCAACCCTATACAGCCATTTTGGCTGACAATCTTTATGTATACTGGATTTTTTTTATTCCATTTTCAACTTTTTCTTTTCCAATTTTGCTGATTTATTTTAAAAATTATTTTTATTTTTTTTAATTGATTTAAATATGTAATTAAATACATTGAACTTTAATTAACAAAAAAAAATTAAAATATCTTGAGTGTTTCATACATATTGTTGAGAGGCCCCAACTAACTCACCTGAGGAGGAGGAGGACCGCCCCAGGTCGTCCGCGACGGACCCAAGGCCCCTCACAGGGTCTCATCGGGTAAAGACGGTCTTGCACTGCAACGGAAAATGTTGTGTTGGAAATGCAATGTTGCTGTTTGTTCTCTCAGGGAAGGAGAGTTATTTGCTTGCAAAAACCGAGCTGTGTGAGAGGGAGCTTTTGGCCAGAAAACACTGAGCTGTGAGAGTAAGAGCTTTTTGGCTTGCAATTACTAAACTGTGAGAGTAAGAACTTTTGACCTGCAAACAGTGAACAGTGAGAGTAAGAGTTTTTGACCCGCAAACAGTGAGGTGTGAGAGTAAGAACTTTTGCCTAGCATTCATTGAACTGTGAGAGTAAGAGCTTTTGGCCTCCAAACACTGAGCTGTGAGAGTAAGAGCTTTTGGACTCCAAACACTGAGCTGTGAGAGTAAGAGCTTTGAGCCTGATAATACTGAACAGTGGAAGGGAAAGTTCTTGGCCTGCAGACACAGAGCTGTGGAATGGACAACTGATGGTCTGAGAACACTGAGCTGTGGGACTGAGATGAGGTCCCGAGCAGTGCTGGTGATCTCACCGTAAGTCGTGTACAGTGTTTGTTACGTCTCAAGTGTATCTCAGGTCAGGTCGGACGGCCTGAAGTGATCAGCCACACGAGGACCAAGTGTGAAGCTGACAGGTCACCACTGATGGTGACCACCACCACTGTTGGTGACCATCACCACTGATGGTGACCATCACCACTGATGGTGACCATCACCACTGATGGTGACCATCACCACTGATGGTGACCATCACCACTGATGGTGACCATCACCACTGATGGTGACCATCACCACTGATGGTGACCACCACCACTGTTGGTGACCATCACCACTGATGGTGACCATCACCACTGATGGTGACCATCACCACTGATGGTGACCATCACCACTGATGGTGACCATCACCACTGATGGTGACCATCACCACTGATGGTGACCATCACCACTGATGGTGACCATCACCACTGATGGTGACCATCACCACTGATGGTGACCACCACCACTGTTGGTGACCATCACCACTGATGGTGACCATCACCACTGATGGTGACCATCACCACTGATGGTGACCATCACCACTGATGGTGACCATCACCACTGATGGTGACCATCACCACTGATGGTGACCATCACCACTGATGGTGACCATCACCACTGATGGTGACCATCACCACTGATGGTGACCATCACCACTGATGGTGACCATCACCACTGATGGTGACCATCACCACTGATGGTGACCATCACCACTGATGGTGACCCTCACCACTGATGGTGACTATCACCACTGATGGTGACCATCACCACTGATGGTGACCATCACCACTGATGGTGACCACCACCACTGATGGTGACCACCACCACTGATGGTGACCATCACCACTGATGGTGACTATCACCACTGATGGTGACTATCACCACTGATGGTGACCATCACCACTGATGGTGACCATCACCACTGATGGTGACCATCACCACTGATGGTGACCACCACCACTGATGGTGACCACCACCACTGATGGTGACCATCACAACTGATGGTGACCACCACCACTGATGGTGACCACCACCACTGATGGTGACCATCACAACTGATGATGACCACCACCACTGATGGTGACCACCACCACTGATGGTGTCTTGACTATGGATTCATTCTCTCCAATTCCGTGTGTGTTTCTAAAGTACACACTGGTCCGATGGGAACCTCACTGATAGTATATTTCAACAACAGTTAGTTTCTTCTACCTCGAGGATTACGGGTGTCATGATCCCAGGCTGCCTGAGAAACGAGTTAACCCCCCTGAGAGTTATTCTGCCAAACCTGACCTAACTAAGAGGTCAAGGTAGACTTGACCGCCTACAATATTACAAGATTTAATCCACTTGGTGAGGTTGGTAGCATAAGTGGTAAGCCAGGAGTTGGGCTACCACTAGATATAAGCAGCTGATAGAGCCCTGATGAGATTGGATGCAACCTGATTATAATAGCATAGAGTGTTGGAGTCATTATTATATCTTGTATTTGTGTTGTATATTTTCTCAGTCCATTAAATGTATGTAATCTACCTGTGTTTGCTCTTGTCCTAGTGAGGCTTCCCAGAAAGTAGAAAAGAGAGAGAGAGAGAGAGAGAGAGAGAGAGAGAGAGACAGAGAGGTTATCTTGAGGTTTTCTTGAGATGATTTCGGGGCTTTAGTGTCCCCGCGGCTCGGTCCTCGACCAGGCCTCCACCCCCAGGAAGCAGCCCGTGACAGCTGACTAACTCCCAGGTACCTATTTACTGCTAGGTAACAGGGGCATTCAGGGTGAAAGAAACTTTGCCCATTTGTTTCTGCCTCGTGCGGGAATCGAACCCGCGCCACAGAATTACGAGTCCTGCGCGCTATCCACCAGGCTACGAGGCCCCTTATGCGAGAGACAGAGAGAGAAAGAACCACAGCTGTGGACAGGGTGGTAAAGAATTACAATTCAAAGAAAGGGGAATGAGGAGGCCATACAAAATAAGGAGAGAGTGGGGAGTCACAGCGGCTCAAATTGGGTGTGTGCACATGACAACGAGGCCAGTGTTGGAGCCGCACCCCCTTAAGATGTGACGCAGAGCCCCTCTCCAAGAGCAGGAAGCGTACAGGGTGATCTCCTGATCAAAGTATAAGCACTTCGGGTTTTGGTCGGTTGTATGGTAGGGATGTACGCAACCTACCTACAACAACGTAACACGGGTTACTTAGTAGACGAGAGGGGCTGGGTTCACAAACACGCTACACCTAGGACCTATCGTCATTCACATTCACCTGCACCGAAGGGAAGGGAAGGGAACTATCAGAGGGGAAAGCGCCAAGCTATTTCATCTATTTAGAACTTGGTAGGGGTTAGGATAAAGATTTGGGATGAGGTCAGTGGGGGGGGGGGAGGGGGAAGGAATGTACCCATCCCCTTGGTCGGTCGGTGATTGAACGCCGACCTGCATGAAGCAAGACCGTCGTTCTACCGTCCAGCCCAAGTGGTTGGGTGTCACCTGCACCCAACCACTTGGGCACAGTACAAACAGCCGCTCCCCAGCCGGTCTGCCAGAGTGGTACACTCGCTGAGGAGCCTCTACACTGGTATACCTAACAATGGAAACAGATCTGATAACACTTTACAGGGTTACAAATATTGCTCCAACAACCAATTTCAAGACCAATACAAGTCCAAAATATTTCCTAGGTATAGAAGACAATCACTATGAAGGCTTCAACGTAGCAACTCGCCTACAATAATTCAATCTCTCACATAATTTTATTTTGGAGCAAAGTACAAAATTCAGTCATTATATGACACCCAGGCAGCGCAATCACTGAGGCACGCACCAGAACTCGTACATGACATTAACACAAGAAACATCATGCATGTCATGGAGATTCACAACCAATATGGCATGTAAATACTGAAAGTTAGCTGCTCTGCCACTTCTAAAGCTAACGAACAACTCCATGAACCCAGTTGGTCCATACGCCTGACAGCTGAGTAAGGGCGTCTGACAGCTGAGTGGACAGTGCTTCGGATTCGTAGTCCTGATGTTCCAGGTTCCATCCCGGGTGGAGGCGAAGACAAATGGGGAAAATGTTTCTTTCACCCTGATACCCCTACTACCTAGCATTAAACAGGTACCTGGAAGTTAGACAGCTGCTACGGGCTACTTCCCTGGGGGTGTATAACAAAAAGGAGGCCTGGTCGAGGACCGGGCCGCGGGGACGCTAAGCCCCGAAATCATCTCAAGATAACCCATGACAATCCTAATCACCAAAACATCTAAGTTTACTTTATTTTTTATTTAATTTACTTATTTATTAATATATACCAGAGTTCATACATTCTTGTACAGCCACTAGTACGCGTAGAGTTTCGGGCAGGTCCTTAATCCTATGTTCCCTGGAATATGATCCCGCGAAAAGTCGTTTAATAACCAGGTACACATTTTACTGTTGAGTTAAACAGAGGCTACAGTTAAGGATTTGCACCCAGTAAATCCTCCCCGGCCAGGATACGAACCCAGGACAAAGATCTCGGTTCGTTAAACATTAAACGTTTACAGTGTGATACGAACACAAACGAGACAATAACGTAAAGAAACCATACAAAGTTGCACAAATGTGCAGATGAAGTCAATTTTTGTACTAGCTGCGATAGCAAAACAGATACATGCATATATTGTGAAACAAGTACTAAAAAATATTCGCAACAATCAACTTCAAACTCAATCCAACTACTTCACTAACAGTAAGACAACCTAGTATCCCAATCACTCCCAGAACAACCAGCACACTTCCACGTCATACTCATGTGCTCTCAGTAACAAGAACAACATGTATCATAATCACCACATAGCCGATCATCGTGTTCACCCGCACCCACAACTTTAGTCAAGAAATGCTGCAAAGGATGTTTATTGACTAATGAGAGAAAGAGGAGGAGGAGGAGGCTATGTAGGTAGTGATCACATCTCCCCAAACTCCTCTGTCTTCGGGAGGCTGGTGTGGTGCATATTTCACAATATCTTTTCTTTCTTCCTAAATAAGCCTCTTATTTCAGGGACTGCTGGTGTTTGATGTGTTGAACTGCTTAAAGGAACCTTATTTGCTAGAAAAATCCCTGTGAAATAATGCGTCTTATATGTTTTGACTATCTAGCTAATAGCGTATTGCTACTTTTTCTTTGTTATGATAGTGATAGCCTTGCTGATAGTGCAATGCCACATTTTGTCTGGTTCACTTAGCACAAGTGAAGAGAAAATATTGAAAAAACTTGCAAAGGTTAAAACTCTGTGAAATCATATCTGTTTTATTAAGTTTTGACTAGTCGGCTAATTGCGTACTACATTATTGTCTTTTTATGTTATGTTTACCTCGACAGCGTTGTAGTGCTTGGAAATTGAATGTGTGGATCCCGTTTCCCTCTTACTGCTCATAAATAATGGAGGCTGTAATGTATTTTTATGGAACATGACTCTTCTTATTCTTACCCCTTTTTAAAACTAGATGCAATAACCAAGTTATGTTTTACCTTCTCTCTCTCAATATGGATGTGGGTTGGTG